CAAAAGTTTTTTGTTCATAACTTTTAAATGGTTAATAATATTATCTCTCCCCCTCCGGATTGTTATTAGGGGGGCCGAAAAACGTCGTTTGGTACCCCTCCCGACTTTTCCGCACCTTTTTTAGGGGTTGTTACCCCACCCTAGAGAATTACCGAATAAACATGTCTAATTACAATCATGTCCTGAATAGAAACATCAGAACAACGATTCAGAAAATAAATAACTGAGATATTTTCTTCCTGGACTACATCACTGACCAATCGTGGAAGCTGACCACCCTCGGACTAAACAAGTTGTATATCGTTATTTTTGGTCTATCCGCAGTATTCGGGAAGTAAAGATGTAGGACGTTCCAGATGTGCATTTGCCCAGATGGTTGCTATATAATGTGCTCTAAACAAAATTACTGTGAAAACTTGTTTTCACGAAGTTTTGTGGATGTGAAAAAGAAAAGTTGAGCATTTTTCTCAGAACCACCATCTTTTCATAAAGAATATCATTGTTTTAAAATCACAATAATTAATAGATGTAAATGAGAAAGCTATTAATAATCAAGAATCGCTTAAAATGATATAACGAAATCATGATGCAATAATGAAAGGTCTTGTACGTTGGCAACTTCTCGCTCTAATTCGCCATCTTGAACTACCTTAGGAGAAACTGTGTGGTTTCTTTGCTAATTTCCCAAAATATTAGAAAAAAATTCAAAACAAGCTACATTGATTCAATTTTCGTTGTTCGTTTTGATCTTATTCGCTGACATTTGTTTTGTAATTGCGTGAAATTGGGTAAGTATTGTAATAAAACCGAATTATTTTACAAATAAATTATAATTTTTCATTTATTAGGTCATTTCCTTAGTTTTTTCTGGCCCATGATTCAATAATTAAAGGTTTGCTCATTAGTGACATTAGAGTTTTGATACTTCCTTAACTGCCTTACAAAAGATTGCACACACACATACGCCGATTTTGTCAAGAGGGAGCGAGAAAACTGTTCTGAGCAAACCTTTTATTATTGAATCATGTTTCTGGCCGACCTCTGCTAATGTTGTGATTAAGTTCTAATACATGTAAGTTACAACATATTAGCTGCGTTCACGATTTGCA